ATGCTTTATTTAAGTCAGTATAATCCACACAAACTCTCCATTTACCGTTCTTTTTCGGAACTACCACAGTATTAGCTAACCAATTAGGATATTTTACATCGCGTATTGAATCGATCTTTAAGAGTTTCTGTACCTCTTCATCGATCACTTGATTTTTGAATGATCCTTGCTTCCTCTTCTTTTGTTTGACAGGTATGAATGATGGATCTTCATTTAATTTATGAGTCATCACCTCTGGAGGTATACCTGTCATATCTGAATGGGACCATACAAAACAATCTGCGTTAGCTTTTAAATATTCAATTAACTTACCTCTCATATCTGGGTTTAACCTTGCTCCGATATGAATTCTTTGATCTGGCCATTGTTCGAATAGTGGAACAACTTCAAGCTCCTCAATCGTTGTTTTAATGTTTTCGTTCTCCTCTGGCTCTTGAATTACATCTAGTCTGGAGTCTACTTCTGTTTGTTTTGATACAATTTCCGTTGAAATTTGATTTACCGCATCTTTCTCACTTGCACCCGCATCTTTTTAACTTGCACTCGTATCTTTTTTACTTGCATTCGTATCTTTTTGACTTGGTTGTATCACCGAATTGATGCTCTTTGAAGTTTGTTGATCTCCTCGAATATGTTGAACTCCCCATTTTGAAGGGAATTTGATAACTTGATGTAATGTGGATGGCACAACATCCATATCATGAATCCACGGCCTCCCAAGAAGCACATTATAGTCCATATCCGTGTCTATCACTTGAAATTTTGTTTCTTTAATGACCCCTTATGCGTATGTTCTTAGTTCAATCTCGCCTTTTGTAATAACGGTTGAGTTATCAAACCCAGATAAGGAATGTGCTTTTGGAACTACACGATCGCCCATCAGCATTTCATTCACCACTCGTAATAGAATGATATTCACAAAGCTACCTGGGTCAATCAAAACTTGTTTTACATTAGTATCATGTATAAGTAAAGATATTACTAGTGCATCGTTGTGAGGAATCATTAATCCATTGGCATCTGCATCATCAAAGGTTATATTGTCGTCTTCCAAAGTTTGGCGAGTTCGCTTCACGTGAGTTATTGTGAACTTTGTTGTTTTTCTCGCAGCTGTATAGGTTACGCCGTTGACTTCTTCTCTGCCATTTATCACATTTACTGTTCTCTTTGGAGATGGAGGTTTTGGGGGCTCTTGCCTATTTTTCATGTACGCTTGTTTGCCTTTCTCGCTGAACAATTTTGTCAGATAGCCCTGCTTCAATAAATGTTCCACCTCACCTTGTAATAAACTGCAGTCTGATGTTCTATAGTCGTGGTCATTATGGAACTTGCACCAAAAGTTTGGGTTTTTTCTATTTAGACTTGATCTCATCTCTTTAGGCCATCGTACCTTATCCCCCATGCTTCTTAAAACAGCGACCAACTTGGAGGTGCTCACGTTAAAATTGTAGTCCCCAATCCTTGCGTTTGTATTAGCATCTCTGTTACGTTCAACTCGATCTTTTCTGAATCTCGACGATGACGAACCTGAATCTCTATTTGCGAACCTATGATCAGCCCACACGTTTTCAAATTTGGAACGAGCTTCTCGCCCTGAAGGTCCCAAATAAGGCTTGTACCTATTCTTATCGGACCTCTTCTCAGATTCTGACCGCCTCAAACCTGTTTTTTCTTCAACCTTTGACTGAGCTACGATATCTTCTTCGATCCGTAATTTGGTACTGTACCTATTATAGACATTATTCCATGTCATTGCAAGGAATTCTCGTAGGCTCTCTTTAAGCCCCCTCATAGCTTCTGAACTTTTCTCGTTTAAATTGCTTGTGAATGCCATGGCTGCCCAATTATCAGGTACTCTTGGTAGCAACATTCTTTCACGTTGGAATCTGTCTACGAATTCTCGAAGCAATTCTGTAGCTCCTTGCTTTACTTTGAATATATCCTCCATTCTCTTTTCAACTTTTTGTGCACCCGAGTGTGCTTTTATAAATAGATATGCAAGCTCAACAAAAGAGTCAGTAGAATTTTCAGGTAAAAGAGAGTACCATGTTAACGCTCCTTTAGTAAGTGTTTCCCCAAACTTTCTGACCAGCACAGATTCAATCTCTGCTTGGTTAAATCATTGCCTTTTACTTTCGTGGTGAATGCAGTAACGTTGTCACGTGGATCGGTCGTTCCATCGTATTTCGGGATGTCAGACATTTTGAACTTTTTGGGAATTGGTAATGGAGTTGCGCTTGGTTTCCATGGTTGTTGTGAATATTTGTCGAAATTAACTCATTTGATCACAGGTGGTACGCCGGGTATTTACTCAATACGGTCATTTTGTTCTTTCATCTGTTTCTGCAAGGTTAGTATTAAAGTTTGTAAATCAGAATTATTAGGCGTACCCGGTCTCCCATCGCGTGACTCGTTGGGAGTTCCTCCGCTTCCAGAATTAACCAACCCTGATCGTGGAATTTCCACAGTTGCAGTATTGTTTGGTGGAAGTGTGGGTGGCACAGCTGGTAGTACCCTCACGAAAGCCTGGAGAGCATCATTCACGTACTCAGCAATTAACTGCTTCACAGCATCCTACTCGACAGCTTGTTCATTGTTATACGTAGTGGATCTTTCTGGTGATGCTTCTCTTGAATTGCGTGAGGTTCCTTGAGGTGACGGAACTGGAGTTCCTTCCACCTGTTGGTTGTTGTCATTGACATTCGATATGATTCAGTTGAGAAAGAGTGATTTGGAAAGTAAGAGAAGATTTTCAAATTCCCGGTAACAGAACCAATTTTTTTAACGAAAGAATTAGATTCTCAGTCAAAGCCTATTTTTAGAAGTACTCGAGTTACTGATAATCAAGAAATTCAATATTCTATCAGAAATAAGAAAGAAAATTAGAATAAGAAATGACAAAATAATCAATAGAAAGCACAAGAAAGTAATTATATTCCAATAATAATCAGAGTGTGTCTGTACAAGTGACATCTCATTCCCTTATATAGGAGTCTATAAGTATAACGTCTTTTCCCTTTTATGACTGAATCATTATGAGAACTAATGATATTAATGAGACGTTATAATTGGTAATCGTAATTGTTCATGAAGATTCTGTAACGTTTGTGATCATTCACGCTCATTAATTGACGATTCATGAATCTTCCCTCTTTACTGTCTTGATTCATTCTGCCGGTGCCTCTTCATTTAACTACTTAGACTCGAGTGACCGTATCCTTTCATCTCGTGGGTGATTTGCTCGTATCTGTTATGACTCGTGTCTCTTTTAATGCATCTCTCCAGCTGTCATTTTTTTAGTGATCCACATGCCTTGCCATATCAGTCACATATTTAATTCAACGTGTAATATTTATTTTTACCAATACAGCTTTCAACACATTATCATCTTTTCTGTTCCAAGTATCGTGGATGTTGCCGTCTACAACATCCTCCACGCTGCGTATTAAAGTAAATACATTATTTTTCTGAGGAACACATGCATGAACCAGGTCCATACACAGTATACACAAGGCACGGGCAGATTCAAGCATAAGGCATGCACATGAAGGGGATAAGCATAAGTGGTTATATCGGATATCCCCTTAATGAAAAGGTTGCATAATTAATAAGGAGCATGACTCCTTACTTGAAGAGAACTCTATCCTAAATAGGGGAGGAGTTAGAAGTTGAAGATAACTAGAACTCTTCCACCATGGAAGAGTAAAATATTAAAACTCTAGTTAATCGTTATTTTACTAACTCTATATATTTAGTAGTGTTCTCTTTTACAGGCGATGCACAAACGCTGAAGTTAAGCAAGAATTGAGAGCAAAATAACAAGGCATTTTGCAAGCAATTCTTGTGTGTTTCAAGTGTGGGAACCTGAAGCTACATGAACCAGATAGAAGAACCAGTTCCAAGTGGCTGTCTTTTAGTCTAGTTCAATTATAGTAGAGCTTTTGAGTTGTACCTTTTAGCTTTGTTAGAAGAATTTGTACTAGGTACTTTGAGTTGTATTATTCAAGTTAGAGTTAACTTGAAGCTGTCGCAGCAGCCTGTGGCTTGTTGCTACAAGGGTTAGAGGTAATCTTTAGGTTTACAAGAGTTTTATAAATGTTGTTGTTTGGCTCAGTGATTTAGTAAAGCGTTGAGAAAAGTTCTACTGGAAGTCAGTCGTGATTTTTTTACCTTTTGAATCGTGTGTTTTTCACGTAAAAATACTTGTGTTCTTTACTTTCAGCATTTATTATTCTGCAACTGTAGTGTAACGAATTCGTAGAAGAACCAGGTCCTTCTATAATCTGTGCACGCAAAAAATTAGACACCATACAAATCACCCTCCCTCTTGTGTGGCATTAAAGTATAAAACATCAATTGGAATCAGAGCAGATTATCCTTTAAGAGGCATTAACACCTTAGGAGAAGATCAAGATGAGTGCATCACTTGGAAATTGGGAAGGATAATCCACGTCTACGCCACTACTCTTCAATGGCCAGTACTACTCTTGGTGGAAGACTAGTATGAAAGATCATGTACAAGCTGAGGGCTACGAGCTATGGGACATAATTACTGATGGCCTACTATCCACCTTGAAGAAAAATGTTGAAGAAGTAGATGTTCCAAAAACAAGAGCTGATTGCAATGCTGAGGATTTGAAAAAGTGGAAAAAGAATGTCAAAGCCAAGAAATGGCTTGTTTTTGGACTTGGTCCAGATGAGTACAACATAATCCAAGGTTGTTCCATTGCCAAGCAAATTTTGGACCCACTGCAAGTGGCCCATGAAGGAACAACTCAGGTGAGAGATCAAGATGAACACTATTGTACTGTCAGTATGAAAATTTTTCTATGAAAGATGGAGAAACCATTCAAGATATGTACACAAGGTTCACTATATTGACAAATAAACTAAAATCTCTTGGCAGGATTATCCTTGAAGATGAGAGGGGTTGAAAATTTACTAGGGTCTTGCAAATTACTTTGGAAAGCAAGATCACTGCTGTTCAGGAATAAAAGAATATGGCCACACTCCCTATGGATGAATTTAGTGGAAATCTCACTGCTTATGAACTTAGGAGACAATCCATGGAAATGGATGTGCCTAATAAGGAAAGGAGTTTGGCACTCAAAATTACTGAAGGTTCTGACTTGAAAGATGATGAAATGACAATGATTACAAAGACTTCAAGAAGTAACTAAGGAGAGGAAAGGATTCTTCAAGAAGTGAAAACTACAGCAAGGCAAGAGCTCCAAAGAAGCAGACTAATGATGGATGCTATAAGTGTGGAAAGACTGATCACATGATCAAGAACTGTCCTTTGTGGGAGATTGAATTGAAAAAGGAAAGAGCTGAAAGAAGGAACAGGAAGAAGGAACAAGTTCATCCTAATAAAAACAACAATAAAGGATCAACTAAGGCTATGGTTGTTGTTTGGGGAGAAAGCTCTGATGGTGATGATGATGATGATGATGATGATGATGATGATGATGATGATGAACGAGCACTAATGGCTATTGGAGAATCAGATGAAAAAATCGAGATAAGTGTCCTTCATCTCAAATACAAGATTAAATTTTTATCTAAAGAAAGATTACATGAATTACTAGAGCTGATTGATGAGTCTGAAGATGTGAATAATAAAAAGGAACAGTTGTCAAAAGAATGTATCATTTTGAAGGCTAAGTGCAAAAACCTGAAACTTAGGGCTTGTGAAACTGAAAGTGAAAATATTGTGTTAAAGAACCAAGTTCGTGCACTTGATACAACTGTCTTAGAACTTAGATCTAAAAATCTAAAATTAAAGTTAGGAATAGGTAAAAAGATAGTTGGTGACAAACTATTCACTCTAGAAGAGAATTTAGGTAAAATGAAAGATGAGTTGTATAAAAGAGATGAATATGTAAGAGTCTTAAAGGAGGACCTGAATAAGGTTAAGCATGAGCTAGACAGAACTTGTAAATGGAACAGGTCCTCTGATGTACTTTCATGGCTACAAGAACATCATAGTAGCAACAGAAGAGGACTTGGCTTTGGGAACTCTGCACCTAACTGGGATCCCAAAAGAAAGTACCTCATACTCCCTGAGAACAAGATTTGCACACATTTTGGTAACACTAATCATTATAAGAGTGAATGCACTGCAAAAGGGAAGGCAAGTCAAAAGAACAAAAATTTTGTTCTAGGAAAAACAAGTTGCCAAATTGGGCTAAAAAGAATTTGATTTATCCTTTTGCCTAAAGAAAGGGACCCAAACTAGTTTGGGTTCCTAAGACTAACCCTTGATTTCTTTTTGTAAGATCAAGTGAAGGGGAGAAGCCAAACATGGTACATGAATTGTGGTTGTTCAAAGCACATAACAGGAAGCAAGAACCGGTTCCTTTCACTTGAGGACCTTAAAGGAGGTAATGTCTCCTATGGAAATAAAAAGAAAGGTGAGATCATTGGGGTTGGAAAGGTAGGTAAGTCTGATTCTCACTATATTGAGAATGTCTGCTTGATAGATGGACTGGAGTACAATCTAATAAGTGTATCACAATTGTGTGATGGAGGTAACATGATAGCTTTTACCTCAACAAAATGCTTTGTAATAAATCTTACACCTGACAAGATAGTTTTGCAGGGAAAAAGAGTGAATAACATATATGTAGTGGATATGTCCACACTTTCAGATAATGAACTCACTTGCTTAAGTGTGTTGGACAATGATCCTCTCCTTTGGCACAAGAGACTTGGACATACAAGTCTAAGCCAACTTAACAAACCAGTCTCCAAGGACTTAGTGATAGGGCTGCCTAACATTAAGTTCAAGGAAGACAAAGTTTGTAAGGCTTGTGCAAGGGGGAAGTAGGTAAGATCCTCTTTTAAAAGCAAGAAAATGGTAAGTACTGTCAGGTCGATGGAACTGGTTCATATGGATCTGTGTGGACCAATGAGGACAATGAGTAGAGGTGGTAAGAGATATATATGTTATGGTGCTTGTTGATGATTACTCTAGGTTTACTTGGACATTATTTTTAACATCTAAAGATAGAGCATTTGACATATTCACTTCATTTGGTAGAAAAACTCAGAAACAACTAAGAAATCAACTTGCTTCAATTAGGTCTGATAATGGTACTGAATTTGAGAATGCTAAGTTTTTTGAATTTTTAGATGTGCATGGCATAGATCATAATTATTTTGCTCCTAGAACTCCACAACAAAATAGAGTAGTTGAAAGAAAGAATAGGATATTGGAGGAAATGGCTAGGACTATGCTACTTGCTAGTAAATTGCCTCATAGCTTCTAGGCAGAAGCTGTGAACACTACATGCTACATCATAAATAGGATAATGACTATACCTCTTATTGAAAAGACTCCCTATGAGTTATTTAAAGGGAGAAAGCTAAATATATCCCACCTTAGGGCATTTGGATGCAAGTGCTTTGTGTATAATAATGGAAAAAACTCCCTAGGTAAGTTTTATCCCATAAGTGATGAGGGAGTATTCTTGGGATATTCTTCACATAGTAAAACTTATAAGATTTATAACAAAAGAACTATGTGTGTAGAAGAAAGTGTAAATATTATTTTTTATGAAACTAACATTCTTTTTTAGAGGCAGGAACCAGATGATAAAGAAATTGGGTTGGTAAGAAACTTAAAGAAAGCAATAGTCCAGCCTGAAGCTGCACTAGAGGAAGGAACAGGTGATGGAACAGGTCCTTCCACCCAGACCAACCTGACAGGGGGAACTAAACAAAAAGGAACTGATTCTCAAACCTCGAGTGAACCTGTTCCTCAACAACAAAATATTGAAGGAACATCTAGGGGAAACCAGTTGGTTGTGAAGCCTTACAATTATCAAAGTTCTCATCCCAATGGAAACATAATCACCGATTGAACCTCTGAAATCAAAACCAGATCCTCTTTAAAGAACCTCTGTGCTTTTGATGCCTTTTTATCTCTTATTGAACATAAAAATATCTCTAAGGCTTTGCAGGATGCAGATTGGGTGAATGCAATACAGGATGAACTCAACCAATTTGAGAGAAGTCAAGTTTGGCATCTGGTACCAAGACCCAAGGATAGAACAGTTATTGGCACAAAATGGGTCTTCAGAAACATACTTGATGAAGATAGAACGATTACAAGGAATAAGGCAAGATTGGTGGTTCAAAGATATAGTCAAGAGGGGGGCATAAACTATGATGAGACTTTTGCTCCAGTTGCAAGATTGAAAGCAATTAGACTCCTTATAGCCTTTGCTGCTTTCATGGAATTCACTCTCCATCAGATGGATGTCAAGAGTACCTTTCTCGATGGCTATCTAAAAGAAGAAGTATTTGTCAAGCAACCTCCTGGCTTTGAAAGCAAGGAATGTCCTAATCATGTGTACAAGCTTGACAAGGCACTTTATGGCCTCAAGCAAGCTCCAAGAGCGTGGTATAAAATATTATCTAATTCTTGCTTGGGCATGGCTACAAGAGAAGTAAAATTGACAATACTTTATTCTTGAAAGATAAAGGTAAAGATCTCTTGGTAGTTCAGATATATGTTAATGATATAAACTTTGGAGCAACTACATATAGGTTAAGTAAAGAATTTGCTAAGCTAATAGGGAGTGAATTTGAAATGAGTATGATGGGTGAGCTTAATTTCTTTTTAGGCTTACAAATTAAATAAAATTCAAATGGAACTATGATCCATCAACAAAAGTATGTGAAAGAGTTGCTTAAAAGGTCTAAAATAGATAATTCCAAAGAAATTGACACTCCTATAGCAATAGCCACAAAATTGGATTTGGATAAACCTGGTTCATCTGTTGATCAGAAGGTTTATAGAGGAATGATTGGCTCTTTTTTATATCTCACTACTAGTAGACCTGACGTTATTTTTGGTGTAGGCCTTTGTGCTAGATTTCGGGCAAATCCAAAGGAGTCTCACTTGAAGGCTGTCAAGAAGATTTTGAGATACCTAAAAGGCACCATTCATCTTTGCATATAGTATCCTAAAGGTAGTAATTTTGATTTAGTGGGATATGTTGATGCTGATTATGCAAGTTTTATTATGGATAGAAAGAGCACTTTAGATATGGCACGCTTTCTTGGCTTATGTCTTGTGTCTTGCAGTCTTGGGCCACCAAAAAGTAAAATTCTATGGCTTTGTCTACTACTGAAGCTGAGTATGTGGTTGTTGCCTCATGTTGTGCTCAATTGTTGTAGATCAAACAATAATTAATGGACTTTGAAATCTATGTAGGTTGTATCCCTATCTTTTGTGACAACACTAGTGCAATTAGTATGAACAAGAACTCGGTTCATCATAAAAGAACTAAGCACAGAGATGTAAGGCATCACTTTTTGAGGGACTACTATGAGAAGGGTTTGATCACTGTAGAATTTTGTGCTACTGACAAGCAAATAGCTGACATCTTCACAAAATATCTAAGTAGAAGTCACTTTGAAAGAAACATATTAGAATTAGGGATGATTAAGACCACCTAAAAGGAACCAGTTCTAACTCAATAATTGGTTAGACAATTTGTGAATTTTATAAATAATTAGATTAAATACTGCTCAGTCTCATAATTTTATTAGTTTACTCTTGTGTCATGTGCTAAAATGTCTCACTAATCTCTAATGATATTACCCTTATTTTCTTGGAAAAATCAGTCTTACACAAGAGAACTTTCAGTGAAGAACCTGGTTTATCAAAATTATAAGGTACGTATTCTCCACTCTGCATATTTTGGAATAATTGTATTTGGATCATGATCTGAAAGAAGTCCCACTCAATCCCAACCTCTTTTTGAACCAATCCATTACCAAAGAACTAGTTTCACCAAAACAAAACGCGCCATAATTGCCTAAATTTTGGGAAGAATCTAACGTCTATTCAAACTGACATTCCCAGGATGATTAGACTTTAAACTCCAAAAAGCAGCAGTTACACACTCCAACTCTTCCCTCTTTAAATTGATGGGACCTTACCTCTTTCTTCACTTCTGATCTTTGAAAAATCAAGACTCCAAATTTTCTCAAGCTTCTCTCATCTATTCTACACTCATCTTATGGCAAACCCATCTGAAAATCCCAAAATTATCGAGAACCTTTCTTCACCACCCAAACAACTATCACCCATACCTTCAACCATCCAAACTCCCAAGAAGGGACGTGTTAAGATGCTTTCTCATAAAATAGTTATTGGTAGTGAACAAACTAAGAGAATAAACGAGAAGTTAAAAGCCAGTCAAACAGAGGAACCCTAAAAATCATATGAGTCCTTCAAGTCTGCAACTGAGGGGGAAGAACTTGTTTTATTTGAAACAGAATAGGTAACTTTTGGGCTAAAAATTTCGTCTAATGTTATTTCAGAAGTGGCTGAAAACCTTGAGAAAAGGTTTGTTCTAGTTGGTACTATAGTTGGTGTAGAGTCTGGGTCAACTAAAATAGGTGGTAAAAATAAAAGAGAAAAAGTAAAAGTCAGTGAGGGTGTAATATGAGATGTGAGGGTAAAGGGAGAAGAATGAATGGTTGAATCTTCACCCAATCCTGTTGGTTTGACTGAAGAAACAGGGGCTATGATGATATGGAGTGAGAAGGTTGTTGAGGAAGAAGAAAGTTTAAGAGAAGAAGGGGGGAGTAGGTCGAGATGCTAGTGCAGTGGAGGGGCTGGTTAGGCTGAGAAAGAGGTTCCAAGAATCTGTTCCATCTAGGAAATAACCCCTAAATGACCTATTGAAAAGGGTGTATGACAACTACAATCCAATGAAGAAGAAAAGTTCAGGAGTTAAAATCCCTAGAACTGCTATGAGAGGCAAAAAAAATAGAGGTTGTCTCTTCTATCCTTGTAGAGACTCCTCCCACAAAAGGAAGAACTACAAGGAGTCAAAGGAAGCAGAGTGAGGATGACCTAGAAAGGACCTTAGCTGAGAGTAAAAAGAAAGTTGCTGCTAAAGAGAAGAAGAAAGTGGGTGAATCAAGTGAAACAATTGAGATTGAAGAGATGGACCTGGTCCTTCATGATGAGGATGAGGCAGAGGAAGTGGAGGTTATGACTCCAAGTGCTAAGAAAATAAAGACTTCTAAGAAGGAGTCCCATGCAAAGTCTATTGATACAAAAAGCTCTGCCTTGGCAAAAAGAACCAACTTTGCCAGGAAATCAAGAAAAATGCAAATAGTGGAAGAAGAGAGTGAAGAAGAAGAAAAGACTGGTGAAGAAAATGACAAGATGGTTAAGTTTGGAAAAAGAACAATTCTGAAGGAGAGGCTCCTCAAAGATTTGGAAGACAAAGGAATCGTGTTGTTGTTGGAGAAGTTGGAAATTTAGGGATGGAAGGAAGGTTAGCCCAAGATGAAATAGTGAAATTCCTTGTAAATTGTGAGATAGAGAATGGAAGGGTAAATAGTGTGGTGAAAGGAGTGAAGGTGATCTTTGATGATAAAAAGCTGGGAAGATTCTAAGGATACCTGCTGAGGGCTACAATGACTATAAAAAGTTAAAGTAGCCAAGTTTAGAGAATCTACCTACCTCACTTGCCATCACCAAGAAATTTACTGATATGGATTTAGAACTACGACTCGGGGATGTCTATAAGAGTGATATGACTCCTGCCCACAAAGTACTCATTGAATTTGTCAACAAAGTAGTTCTGCCCAGGCAGGAGAGAAGGCAAATTGCTACTTTTGTGGACCTGGTCCTTATGGAGTGCTTGGATAGTGGAAGGCAGATCAACTGGCCGGGATTTATAATCCAACTCCTTAATAGGGTGGTTCTGGCACTAAAACTCATGCCATACCCTATGGGTTCATACTCACTGTTGTGCTTGCTCAATTTAAGGTTCCCCAAAAGCAATATGATATAAGCACAAGTAAAGATTACTTTGGGGCCAGCACTTTAATTGAATGTGATTATGAAGTCCTTACTGCTCCCAAAGAACCTGGTTCATTCAAGAGAGTGCCCATCAAAGTGAGAGATTTGGAGCAGGAGAGTGGGATTAAGGATACTGAGATTGAGAGGCTGAAGTAGAAACTGAAAGGGATGCTCTTAAGTCTGAGCTTGCAAAGGAGAAAGAGAAGAATGAAGGCATTCTTCAAGACATGTTGAAGCTGCTTCAGGCCAGACACCAAGAACCTGATCCTTCCCAGTTTTAAACCCTTCCTAGCCTAGTTTGTAACTAGTGACCCGAGTGGGATTTTTCTTTTTTGTCTTTTTGCTCATGGTTCGGTACTTTTATTTCTCTTATGCTTTGTGGATGAATCTTATCAATGATAATAGCTATTTTTGCTCAAATTGTTTGTTGATATTTCTTAGATGGCTAATATCTTTTGATTGATAAGAGAAACTTGAATCCGTGATTGCATTTGAAGTAACCTAAATGGCCATGAGTAAGATCTGCTAAAATCTGGTTATATAACTTAATTATGCAACTTTTCGATAATGAAAAAGGGGAAGATAGGTTGTGTTTTTGCTTTGGACTGTGATATTTATAACCTAATGAACCTAGTCCTTGATGATCTGTCACTTTAAAATGGAAAGTGTTCTAACATTGTGTTGATGTTGAGCTGAGTTGAAATAGGTTTCATGCTTATAAAAAGCACAAACTTTGTCATCATCAAAAGGGGAAATTTGTTGGTCTGAGTAAGTTTTGTTTTGATGATTGACAAAGGAACACATGCATAAATCAGGTCCATACATGGTGTACACAGGGCATGGGCAGATTAAAACACAAGGCATGCACGTGAAGGGGATAAACATAAATGGTTATATTAGATATCCCCTAAAAAAAAGGTTGCATAATTGATAAGGAACAAGACTCCTTACTTGAATAGAACTATATCCTAGACAAGGGAGGAGTTAGAAGTTGAAGATAACTAAAACTACTCCATCATGGAAGAGTAAAGCATTAGAACATTAGTTACTCCTTATTCTACTAACTCTATACATTTAGTTGGGTTCTCTTTTACAGGTGATGCACAAATGCTGAAGTTAAGCAAGAATTGAGAGCAAAATAGTAATGCATTTTGCAACCAATTCTTGTGTGTTTCAAGTGTGCGAACCTGAAGTTACATGAACCAGATAAAAGTGGTTTTCCTTTATTCTAGTTCAGTTGTATTAGGGCTTTTGAGTTGTACCTTTCAGCTTTCTTTAAAAGCATTTGTACTTTGAGTTGTATTGTTCAAGTTAGAGTTAAACTGAAGCTATCATAACCGCCTGTGTCTGGTTGCTACAAGGGTTAGAGGTAATTCTTAGGTTTACAAGAGTTTTGTAAACGTCATTGTCTGGCTCAGTGATTTAGTGAAGTGTTGAGAAAAATCTTACTGGGAAGTAGGTCGTGATTTTTTTACCTTTTGAGTCGGGTGTTTTTCACGTAAAAATACTTGTGTTCTTTCTTTCAACATTTATTATTCCGCAACTGAAGTGTAAGGAACTCGGATAAGAACTAGGTCCTTCTATAATTTGTGCACGTAAAAAATTGGACACCACATAAATCAACCCCTCTTATGTGGCATTGAAGTATAAAACATCATACATATATTTGGTGATACCAGGAGGAGCTGTAGCAACCTAAATATATGTAAAATTTTCTATAGCATAATACAGCTAGTTCGCGCCCCACACAAACACATCCCAGTAATGACAAACAGAATTTATTACCGATATTGTATCTTCCTCGTTGCTCCCTGGAAAACTTGCAGAGCATTCTAGCACCATATGGACAAAGATTTCATGGGTAAAACTTGTTGTCCTTAAAAATAATAGAGGCAGAAGGAGGTCCAAAATACAAGTATACATATAACAGATTCTACAATTTCGGCACAGAATTAAGACTTTGGTTGATGAAAATCATTTTTGTTGGTGAAAATCTAGAGTACGCTAAACTAGATATGGCAACCTAATAATTCACCAATCGATGATTTTAAATATATCACATAATTAACATAATTATATGACCAATTTTGAAGGTGGACAACGTCACTTGAATCTGGCCAACTATTTGTGTATAGATTCGGAAAAAGAATAATTACTTCATGCAAAATTCTCTTTGTTGAATTAATAGCCAAATAATGACGTTCGTCCTTTCTTATATTTTGAAGAATAAAAAAGTAAGAAAATAACCACTCAAGAACTTTTTTATCTTGCAGGAAAGTTTGTACTTCATTCCATACAATCTTACTCTTTTTACAATGACTAGGGAGGGATTTGGTCTAGTGGTGAAAGTACAACCCGTGATGCATAGGTTAAACAAATGCCACGAGTTCAAACTCATCCAAAAGCCTATATTTATTTTAAGTGAACAAGGATAAAGGGATGTGCCCATAGTTCAACGAGTTTCGAAGTGAAAAAAGAGTACATGAGCGGACTCATTATCCAGCGAGTTCTAGACTATGCGCCACTGATCCTCGGGATTTATCCATTATAAAAATGAACTCTTTTTACAATGAAAATCATTGTGTGTTAACCTAGGTATTACTCAACATTAACTGCAATATGTGCTTCTCTAATATTGCCACTTGAGATTCTGTTCCTTCTCCCCAATCACTTTGGTTTCGATGCCAAAATCTTGAATTTCATAAGAACATCAAGTTGATTAACAGAGTCCAGGTATGGAGAAAAGAAAGTATTTGAACTCATTATTAAGTGCATCATCTAGAGGCAAACATTAGGTGGTTCTGCGGTACTTTTATTCAGTGCTCGGTAAAGCTTACCCATCCTACACTCTTTTCTTATATGTCTGATGGAGTTATTCCCTGTTGAAAGCTGAGTGAAGACCTTGTTTAAGATACTTTTTTCCTTCCTAAGCGAAATGATCAATTCTCTAACTTATTATTCCCCCACACAGACGAGTTGACTTTGCAATATTTGACTGATCACAATTTTATATATTTCATTGACTATAAAAGTTCCCCGGGAATTCAGAGGAATGCTTCGATAAGTATTATTTGTTCTTGCCTATTGCTACTATGTTTTCCAATTTAATCTTGCGCATACTTCTAATTCAGAAAAATATGTAAGTGTATATAGAGCTAGCTATGCTATAACTATATTCCGAGCAGTCTCGTTACGCGCCATTGGGATCAACTCTGGTATCTACATAAGAATTACATAAGTATAGTATAAGTGCAATGATATCATGTACCATGTAAGTGCCGAGCGTAACCTCGACAAAGTAGTGATGATGCTATGGCAAGTCACTCATAAATAACCTGTACGAAATAATAATAACAAGAAAACAGGAACAAAAATAAAGCAATAAACTCATATAAATGAACCCGAAGGTCAACTACCAGAGAGTCCAGAATAACAAAGTCTCAAGTCTTATATCACAACATCGAGGATACCTCAACAATTACAACATATCCAAATCCGTTGCGCGCAACCCGATCCCACCATATCATCATCTGTTCATATCATAATTCGTCCTTATTCCTTCATATCATTTCAATACCAATCAATACCATTGCAGCGTGCAACCCGATCCCCAACCAATTTTAAATCATCATCATAAATAATTCAACAACAATATTCACAAAATATTAATGTAAGAAGGTAAATGTACAAGACAGTAAAGAACCACAGAATAATCGGAGAATAGCTAACATCTTCAAATCTCAAACTCTACCAATTCATTAGTACAGAACAGTTAAACAACTCACATAAGTGAAATAACATTATAGAGTGCATCAAATAGTATAAGAGCAATAAAAGCAGGTAAAACATATGACAATTAAAATATACAATTAATACAAGTAGAAACATATAGCAAATAAGCAGAAATCATGTGAGGAATAAACAAATTAAGGCAAGTAACAATTAGATAACAAGTAACAAATATGCCATAGAAGTCAAGTAAAAACATATAACATTAAGCATATAACAAGAGATATCGTGAAATAAATGAAAACATGAAAATACATATCCCAATCTCGCATGCTAAATCCCATGACGGCGCATATACGCCGTTTTCACCACATAATTCACATAATAAATAGTTCAAGAAATTCTAATTCCCTCAAGTCAATGTTAGACATAACATTTACATCACTTCACGAACAAAGCAATCAATCAACCATGACCTTGCCTTTTGAACAAGTCTCCAAACCAACCAAATCTAGCAATTATCGATCAAACGATTCAAAACAAGCTCTAGAAACCACCCATTAATGAAAGAGGTTCAATTTTGATCATTTTTTGAAAAAGTCAACAAAAGTTACCCACAGGCCCGCTTGGTCAAAACTCGAGATTCGAATCAAACCCCGATTACCCATTCATCCCCGAGCCCGGTTATGTGATTTGTTTCGAAATCCGACCTCAATTTGAGGTCTAAATCTCAATTTTGTAAAATTCTCAATTTCTACCCAAATTCCTAATTTCTACCATGCAAATCCTAAATTTGATGTTGAAATATCATGAAAAGTAATGGAGAATTGAAAGAAAGTGGATTAAATTTGCTTACCAATGATTTTGGGAAGAAGAAATCCTTGGAAAATCGCCACTAGAGTGTTTAGGATTGAGATATGGTGTAAAATGAGTTAAGTCCCATTTTTTTCCTCTTTTACCTAGCTACAAATGTCGCAATTGCGATGTCTTGTTCGCAATTACGAGCATCGCAAATGCGAAACAAAGGTCGCAAATACGAACCTTGTATCAGAAGTCCAAATGTCGCAATTGCGATGATTTGATCACAAATGCAAAAAGCCCAGCATTCGCAAATGTGGCCAATTTCTTCGCAAATGCGAAGTTGTCCTATATTTCTAGTAGTCGCAAATGCGACCAAATTTCTCCCAAAAGGAGCCCTAGCCAGTTCGCATATACGAACCATTTCCTCGCAAATGCGAGGTCACCAAATCCCGGGCCCCGCTCGCAAATGCGAACTTTTGTTTGCAAATGCGAACCACACCTCGCAATTGTGAGATCTGCATCAGACGCCAGAAGTTAACTCTACATCAGCAGTCCTCAAACTTTCCAAACTCATCCGAAATGCATCCGAAACTCACCAGAGCCCCTCGGGCTCCAAACCAAACATGTACACAAGTGTAATAATATCATACGAACTCGCTCACATGGTCAAAATACCAAAATAACATCTAAGACTACAAATTGAACATCAAAACGAATGAAATTTTAAAGGGAACCGCAAGAACAACTAGAATCACAACTAAGCGTCTGAATCATATCAAACCAATTCTGAATTGCACCAAATTTTGCAGACACGTTTCAAATAAAAAACGGTCTCATTGAAATTTTTTTCATGGTATGGAACTCACTTCATACCTGCATATACTAAGTCCCAAAATCAAAATTCAAACCTGATAGCCATGAAGCCAACCTACGGTCAAACCTAGGAAATTTTCAAACTTTCAAATTACTAGCTTTCGGCAAGATAAGTCAAATCACCCTAGGGACCTCCGATTTCAATTCAGGACATACGTCCAAGTCCAAAATCACAATATGGACCTACCAAAATTGTCAAAATGATCTGGGGATATTTTCACAAAATGTTGACCGTAGTCAACTCAAGTTATTTTTAAAGCCAAAAATTATATTTTCTTCAAATTTTTACATAAAAGCTTTTCTAAAAGCGACACTGACCACGCACGCAAATCAAGAAACATCAAACGAAGCTAATGGAGGTCTCAAAACTTGGAATTAAGGGCTAGTACTCAAAAAAGGCCTATCGAGTTGTCACAAATGGCTATCATAAACTCTTGTTGCCATTTCTCTAAGGTCTCCATACAACCCCAAAGACACCTTAATTGTTTGCAAAAAAAATCATAGCATGAATTTCAGCAGTAGTAAATTCAATCTCATTTGTCCTATCTGATAATTTGGTAATCTGCAGTAGCCTCCGTTTATTGACTAACATCAACAAGCTTTTTGACTTAAGTTAGTGCCATTGGCAATGGCACATCTTAATTGAATGAACTCTAGGCTACATCCTTCAGGGCTTTGAGGCCTAAAGTAGTAACCACCTCATGGCCGCCATTTGTGAAAATAAATTGTATCTACTAACAAAAATGAAAAATCCCTACTCTTTCCATTAGCTGGAGAGAGTTTTGCAAATTTGAGCAACCAAGTGTCATACTGACAGTCATTCTCGCTTTCAGCACATTATCATCTTTTCTGTTCCAAGTATCGTGGATGTTGTCGACTACATCATCTGCCACGCTATGTATCAAAGCAAATACACACGTTTGGTGGTACCAGGAGGAGCTGTAGCAAGCTGAAGATATGAAGAATTTCCTATAGCATAATACAGCCAGGTCGCGCCCCACACAAACACATCCCAGTAATAACAAACAGAATTTATTACCGATACTGTATCTGCATCGTTGCTTCCTGCAAAAACTTGAAGAGAATTCTAGCACCATATGGACAAAGATTTTATGGGTAAAACTTGTTGTCATTAAAAACAATGGAGGCAGAAGAAGGTCCAAAATACAAGTATGCATCTAACAGATTCTGCAATTTCAGCACAGAACTAAGACTTTGGTTGGTGAAATTCCAGAGTAGGCTAAATTATATGTGAAAGACTAATAATTCACCAACTGGTGATTTTAATTTAAGTTACATAATTAACGTAATTATATGACCAATTTTGAAGATGGGAGAATGTCACTTGAATCTGGCCAACTATTTGTGTAAAGATTCGGAAAAAGAAAAATTACTTCACTCCCTTTCTTGAATTAATAGCCAAATGATGCCACTAATCCAACCTTATTCTTTGAAGAACAAAAAAAAGTAAGAAAAGAACCACTGCATAATTTTTTTTATCTTACAAGACAATTTGCATTTTATTCCATAAAATCTTACTCTTTTTTACAATAAAAAGCCATGGCTTTGGTCTAGCGGTGAAAGTACAACCCATGATGTGTGGGTTAAACAAATGTCACGAGTTCAAACTCATCCAAAAAGCTTATATTTAAACAAGTGAACAATGGTAAAGGGACGGGCCCATATTCAACGAGTTTCGAAGTGAAAAAAGAGTAAACACGTGGACTCATTATCTAGCGAGATTCGGACTATGTACCACTGATCCTCCAGATTTATCCGTTATGAAAACGAACTCTTTTTACAATGAAGATTGCGTGTTAACCTAGGTATCACTCAACATTAATTGCAATATGTGCTTCTCCAATATTGCCACTCGGGATTCTGTTCTTGCTCCCCAATCGCTTTGGTTTCGATGCCAAAATCTTGAATTTCATAAGAACAGCAAGATGATTAACAGAGTCCAAGATTTCCACAGAGCTGGAGACAAAATCTAGCATCAGTGAAGCTACTCTTGTCGTCGGAAGCAGCTGCCGCAACTCTGCTTCTTCAGCCAAGTTACCACTTCTAATTATGGACCTTAGTTTTTCAGCTGCTGCTTTAGCCTTTAGAATATGAGAATCAGTTGTTGGATAAATGATCATTGTCTTCATTGACAATGCTAATTCCTTCAATGCACATCCACACTCTACGCTCATTTTTGTGCATGTTTCTTGAATTATTTTCTTTCCTTCTGGTGTCTGAAAAATGTAAAATTATACTTACAATTTGCTATTTAATATGTATATTTAACATAACTTGCTATAACATGTTATTACTTTATTTTTCAGGTTACCAAATCACTTACTATAACAGGTTATCACTTTAGTTACTAACTTACCATAATGCAGGAGCTAAGACATGTGTTTAAAGCGTCGATGTTAATGGCACAATCACGAACAAGATCTCCGATTTTCAAGTATTGTTCCCATGGATGTCTGTACCTGAATTTGCCATGTCGGGGCTCCCATTTTGCTAAATTGACCTAATACAGAGAGAAATTGCAATGTTAGAATTACAAATTTACAATATTGTATTGAATCAATTGTGATTTTTGTTTCAGGTTGGTTTCGGACTAACCAGATTTACTTCATTAGTTTTTGAGTGGATGATACATTTGTATTCCCCAAGAAATGTTCTGTCTAGTTCTTCCAACTTGACATCAAGTTTCTTGAAGTATTGATTTCCGTATCCTGTAAATTTAGGTAACAAAATTTAATACGCAGAAAATTTTGACTAAACGTTCGAATCACGTCACTATATATAATATAAAATCATACAATATTAGTTATGTTACATTGACTCATACACCAATCTCGCTGTTGGTTGGTACACATCTGACAATGACGTTGGCATCTTCAGCTTCTATAACAAGTNATATATATATATATATATATATATATATATATATATATATATATATAATATTTTTCGGATATTATTTTAAGAGCGACTATACAATATCATTTTTTCTATAATGTATTAAATAAACTCCACTCAATGTTACCTTATCAAAATACTCTCGCTCTAATATTCTTTTTATCTGTTATTTTAGCCACACAAAAAAAAATTATGGTCCAAAATATTCGTCACTTTAAAAACAAAGGATACATTAATTTTTTTTTTCTTAATTCTACCATTATTTTCCAAGAAAGCACAAACCATTAATTTTCATTTAAGGAAAAAATATGGGTGATTTAGTCAAACAACTCTAATAATTAATGATATTAAATAATTTTTTTAAGAATTTAATTTATATACATTGTTAGTATAAGAAATTTCTCATATCATCAAGTCACTCCTAGCTAGCTATTGTAGCAGGTTATCTATCTTATTTTCAAGATTTTCATGTTTTAATAATACTTACATGTAGATATGTTTTGAAGGTGTGTGAAATTTCTTACATTGAGGATATATATGTCTACACATTTTTTTTTAATACATGTGTCAAAAAAACAACAACAACCCAATATAATCTCACTAGTGGGTTTGAGGAGGGTAGTTTGTACGCAGACCTTACCCCTACCCTAGGATAGAGAGGCTGTTTCCGATAGACCCTCGGCTCCCTCCCTCCAAGAACTCTCCACCTTGCTCTTGGGGTGACTCGAACTCACAACTTCTAGGTTGAAGTGGAATGCTCACCACCGGAGCAAACCACTCGTTCTATCAAAGTGAGGAAAGACGTACCTTCAAGGGAAATTCCAAGCTTTTCAATATTTGTGGCAACTAGATTGTGAAGATCTTCACCAGCCCAAACAGGGCATATGACCACGTTAAACAGAACCGCCGCCGCGCCGCCGATGAGGATCGTCGTCACCCGAGTAATCGCCATATCGAGCACCTCATCGTCTCGATACCCAGAAACAGAGATCAAAGAGAATGTCAAAATAAAAATGAGAATGCCATAGTCATATCTCGCCTTCAGTTTTGGTACAAATCTCATAAACGTCGCTATTGCAGCTGTTTTCAAAATCACATGAAACTTATTAGACATTCACAATAATAAAACAAATACTATATACTAGTAAAAGAAAGTAGATCTCTAAGGAAATGTTAGAATATCAATTTACCTATCAAGAAAACAGATAATCCAAGTACAACTGGTTGCAATTTATCTGACCCTGATAAGTTAACAAGTTTATGAGCTCCAACACCTAATGAACCGGCTAGAAACGTTGCAATTCCTCTATTTACGCTTTTCCCAAGTGTTGCTCCTACGAAAAACAAATATTTCGTGCGATCAATTAATAACCATTGACGACTGAAAAAATAGTTTAATGATTTTGGTGCGATGATTATATGTGAAATTAACGTGCGATTTAATAGGAAACTTACCAACAGAGAACTCGAAAACGACGACAACAGTCAAAACTGCCCACATTGCAGAAACACCAAATCCCTCGTAATGAAAGAAAGGTTCAAAGTAGTAGAACAATGAAACTAAGGCAATGGTCAATCCAACTTTAATTGAATGAACAATTTTCCTTGGATCATCTTCTGCTATTTTCTTCATATCGCTACCAAAAGAATACACCTTAGAAACTGGTTTCTTCACTACTCCCTTCACTTTCAACATTCCAGCATTTTCTTTATTCTTTACTGGCGCCATTTCTTGAATTCTCTATAAATTAAAAGCTTTTTCCCCCCTCCTCCTTTGATTTTCTTGCTTATTGTTTCAATGTAATGGGGTTAATTATATCAGAAACGAAAGTTTACTTGCTATATATATAGAGGAAAAGAAGGAGTAGATCAGTGTTATTTCTAATCTCACTATCAATCGAGCTATTTATTAATTTTCACAGCACAGAAATCACCTGGAAATAGTGTGACACGTTTTCACACATGAGAACGACATAATAGTGGCAACTAGTAAACTTCATTTACATCCTAAACTGTACCCCATTATAATTACAACTATTTTTGCTTTTATTATATTATAATATATTATATTTGTTTGCTTGCTTGCTCTAGTAAGTTGCAAGTAAGTCAAATTTTTTAAGTTGTAGTTTCCTGAAATTCTAGGACTCTGTACAACTGTATGTTGTCTTTGTTGTCTGACCAGGAAGTTGCTTGTTGTTTCACGATTCCTCTAACATAGTGTCCTTTCATTTCTTTTATTACACAATAATGGCATCGACGTCTATATTTTCTATTTTTTACTATACAATAATCGCATCTTAGGACAGTAGTGGAAGGAATAATTCATAAGCAAATATTTTAGGTACTTTTTAGATACCTTGTCGCTTAATCAAAAGGTCTTGGTACATCTACCCATTGACATGAATATTCCGAAGATCTAACAATCAACCTATCCAAATTTGTATCACATAAAAGCAATTTAGCGCACATAAGCGGAAATAATTATGGGATAAAAAATTAGTATTGCCTTATCTCTTGTTTGGCTACTTCTGGAATAACTTATCTCATGATTTAAAATAGTACCGGAATAATTTATACTTGTCGGAGGGTGGAATACTAATCTTATGATAAGTTATCACAGGATAAAGAGTAAAATAGACAATCACATGATTAATACAATATGCCAAATAATTAATAAAAAATAATATCAAAATAACTAATCTCGGATAACTAATCCCAATATAATTTGTCATCAAACCAAACTACCACTAAGTCTCACTCAGCGTGCTGGGTTATCATATTTAGATCTTATCGAATTTATTGTAAACCAATCTTATTTGTAATTTTGTAAGAGCCTATTTGCACATCCCAATTTTTACTATACTTTTATTATTTTAGATCCTTTAAAAATGATTGATAATTCTAATAAAAGCTTTTATGTAAAATTCTGAACTTCAATTTGAATTTATGATGTGATGTTATTTAACCAAACTAGTAGTTTAAATAAAATTTAAGGTTCTTTTCCAGGACCGGTAATATAATATGTAAGTCAATTTTTTATCTTAAATTCTTTGTCTCGACAAGTACGTTACAAAATAAAAATAGAGGCAATGTCAATTAAGGGAGATGTCCTACTCTCTTGGAAGGTCATCGTCTGTATTTATATATATTTATCTATACTATATTAAAAGCACAAAACTTTTTCACGAAATGTCGTTCACCTTTTTTACCCTATAAAATAAATTTCACAATGGACAAATTTGTAATTTTAATTATTTTTCTAATATTTAGAATTTTAAAATCAAATAAATTTTTTATTTTTTAAATCTTTCCTTATTGACTACTTAATCTGGTTTACAAGTCCGGAGTCGAATCTCACAGAGAACTAAAACTTAGCTATAGTTGTTCAGTATTGCTAAGAAACACAAGTCCAAACAATTTCCTAGTTATAAAGATTTGATTTTTTATTTCTACTAGTTAACTAACAAATATTATAAAGCAGTAAAATTGTCAACTAACAAGAATGAAATTGGAGACAAGCCTAAGGAAGTCTAGAGTTATGATTTCCCCAATTGTCGGAATCCTTCCCGCTACGTCTTCTGTAATTTCGCCTAAGTATTCTCTACCGATCGTGAGTACTTCAACTACCACAATTTACTAGACATATTCTTCCGAATTACGCTAGCTGGCACACTACTTCACCGCTCACTAAGATCGCACCAAGATTTCGTTATCTCTAATCCCACCTTTAAACCCTCTGTATTGATCTCTCACATACGTTAGGAGTGATGTTGTTCAACAACTACCTAAATGTGTACTCTCTCTCGGGCAATATACACACTAAATAGGCACAGTTAATTGATGGATATTCAATCAACAACAATAAACACGTAGTTGAACAAGTAGAGGAATTCAACGACTCGATTATATAAAAACATAACAAGAATTTATCCTACAAAAGGTTCTATCAAAACTTTAGATAACAAATTAGCTATTCATAATAGTATGCAAAATTATAATACTAGAATTCATAACCAATAATGAAAATAGGAATAAGGAAGTGAAAAACTCATAAAAAAATTCGCCGCCTTACTCCTAGCGTGTTCTTGCCTCCTTAGGCCGAATCCCCTCTCAAAAACGTCCTCCTTGGTGGAGTCTGCCCCTCAAAAACGGCTCTCCCTCGTTCAGACATGTTTAGGGAGTATTTATAGGCTAGGGTTGAAGTCCAAATCCAGGTCGGAGTCTTTTAACCCACGACTTTTAATTACCGGGCTATAGACCTCGCGAAACCTAGTCTGTAGCGCGGTCAACCTGGCTATATACCTCGCGAAGCCTGGTCTGTAGCGCGGTCAACCTGGCTATAGACCTCGCGAAGCCTGGTCTGTAGCGCGGTCAACCTGGCTATAGACCTCGCGAAGCCCGGTCTATAGCGCGGTCAACCTGGCTATAAACCTCGCGAAGCTTGGTGTATAGCGCGGCCAACCTGGCTATAGACCTCGCGAAGCCTGGTGTATAGTGCGGTCAACCTGGCTATAGACCCCGCGAAGCGTGGTCTATAGCACAATCAAACTGGCTATAGACCTCGCAAAGCCTGGTATGTAGCACGGTTTGGGTACTTGGCATTTTTGTTCTCTTTTCTTGCATTTTCGTCTTCTTTTTGTGCGACCTTCACTCGTCTTTGTCTTCTGATACTCCTACACATAAAACAACACAATTTAGCTCAAATGTCGTACAATTAATCACTAAACCAACAAAATATAGGGCAAGTAATGTACTAAAAGTATAACAATTTGGCCTAACATCACCGCCCCACACTTAAACGTTGCTCGTCCTCGAGTCAACCACCAATTCATACTAACCTTGAGCACTTTATTTTCTTTTAGCATATCTGAAGCACACCATACATATGACTATGGTTGATAGCAACAATTAAAATTTAGCATATGCCTTCAAAACACACTTTCCTTTACTCTATGCCATACTTCAAAAAATTATTTATTTAACAACAAGACAACATGCTTATAACAATCCTAACCTCACAAACCGACTCAATATCATAATGCATTCGTGGCTTGAACACTTAACATCATAGAGACATTTAACAACATCACTTATCCCTTGCAAAATTATGTGCCCTCACCACAAGAACATGAGAGTAAGTTAAATCCACACATTCGAATCAAATTCTCAAATATATTTTAAGGACTCACATATATCAAAGAAATTCCTCACTCTCACAAAGACGTCACATGCATGCACAAAGTACCATAGGCTTGCCCATTATGTAAACCCCCACTAATGTAGGCTTGCTCGATCTAAAATCAATAAAAAAATTTCATGGTTGTAATGTGGGGTAAGGGAAGGGTAAGATATATTTTGGATTAGTGGTTCATCCTCCCAAGCAGTTTAACACATCACATAATAAACTTCAAGCGCAAATTCTTCAATCCACTTCAATTTCATAACATTATCACCCCCAAAAATATTTCCTCTTTCTTTAAGCATTATATTAATTCATACACTGGCAAGGATAAGATATGCTTATTTTCCTTTGCTACATATTTTTTTCTTATCAACAATACTCTTTTTTTCTTTCTCTTCTACCCTTCCTGCTAGTGGTGTATTCCTTACAATACAAGTGCACCTTTCTTTCTTTCATTCTTTCCACTCAAAAGCCACCCAAGTTCTATCCTTACTTCTTTTAGCACTCATTTTATAATTAAAGTGATTTAAGAGGTAAAAGGATCAAAACAATAATAATTAAGCACAAAGGGGTATAGGCTTGTAATGTGGTTGTCAAATAAAAGTTTATAGGCACAAAAGGGTTGACTAGGAATAATTTTTATTGTGGTAAGAATTAAGCTCAAACAAATCAAAGAAAGCCTAAAATCATTTTTTCAAACCGAGCAAAACCTAAAATTTCGCTTCAACTCACATGTCGGGCAAGTTCTAGACTCTAATACAATGACATGGACTATACACTTTTTCACCACACATGGCACATGACTCACTAAGGAAGATTCCATTCCGATTCTCAAACAATTGTAAGTATTCACGGAGCCACAAAATATTAAGCATCAAGCACAAAGTGACACAAGCCAAGAAAATGAGCTATAGGCATCAATAAACATGTTATCTACTCAACAAGGCATCATAAGTATTTTCAAACCATAGGGAAAGTACTACACATGCTAGAGCCTAAATATGCTACTATCAAATTAGTCAAAGGCGCCTAGCAAATCTCATTTTTCACATCCTTTTATTCCCTAAATTATATTCTACTCTAAAAATAAGAAACTATGACCCGGTTCAAACTACATCCCATAAAAAAAATCGAGGCACAAAAAAAAATCACTGGGGATTATTACTACCTAAAAAATAAAAAGAAATATTTATGGATTTTCTTTTTGGTCAGGCTTTAAACCCTCAAGAAAATTATCTAGGATATCCATCGTCACGAAAAGTTCAATCATTTTCTATTTTTCTAAAAAAGCATTATTCAATTAAACTAACATAACTAAAATAGCATAGAAAGTTACCCAGAGAATCTTCTCACCCCACACTTAAAATTGTGCATTGTCCCCGATGCACACCATAAATATAAGAGTGTAAAAGAAACTCTCTGATAGGCCAAAGGCCAAAGCACTAGCAGCTCATGGGGTACTCAAACTTTACCCATGCCTCGTCCTTCGTGCGGGTACCTCGCACTTAGTTCTAACCATCTGGTTTGTTGTTGCATCCTTCTAATAGCTTTACTTTCCATGCTCCTAGAAAATCAAAAACCAAAACTACAAAAAAAATACAATCAAAAAAATAAAAATAAAAAATAAATAAAAGAAAGCAGTAAAGTTGGGTTGCCTCCCAACAAGCGCTTGATTTAACGTAGCGGCACGTCGTGAATTACTTTTTGCCTCCACTTCGA